CTCTAGCTATATTCTCCATTACGTATGGGGCATTTCTTCCCCTCATCCAAATAGCCCCATCATCTGCGTATAGAGCCGATTGAATGCATGTGTCTAAACATGTAAATATATCATTGATCATGATGTTAAATAATATTGGACTGACTGCACTCCCTTGGGGAATACCATTTTCTATTTCAAAATAGTTGGAAATATCTGCTCCAACCTTTACTCTAAATGTCCTGTCTGTTAAAAAGGCCCTTACCCAATTGTACATTCTCCCTCCAATACCCATTATACTCAATTTGATCAGTAACCCATCCCTCCACATACAGTCATACGCCTTTTCAATGTCAAAGTACACTATTGCCATTATCTCTTTCATTTTTAATGTTTTTTCCACATCATTACCCACTCTTACTAAAGCATCTATTGTGGACCGCCCTTTACGAAATCCGCTCTGAAAACTACTCAGCAGCCCTTTCTGCTCCAGTACATGTGAGAGCCTACGGACAATGATCTTTTCCATCCATTTACATAGGTGTGATGTAAGAGCTATTGGTCTGTAGTTACTAGGGTTAGCTGCATCTTTCCCTGGCTTATTGAATGGTAGCACGACTGCTGTTTTCCACAAACTTGGCATATCTCCTTCTCTCCAGATTTTATTGAAAAGACTCAGCACCATTGTCATAGTTTCCATAGGCAACTGTCTAAACATAGCATAACATAGCTGGTCTTGTCCTGGGGCTGTATAACCTGTACCTTGTAAGGCTATTTTGAGTTCTGACATTGTAAATTCCACATCAAGAGCTGACCTATTATCCTGTCTCTTCTCCTTCACGTTTTCATTCTCTGCTAGTAACTGCTGTTTTTGCTGCCTATGAATATCACTGAGATGTTCTCCGCTATGTACTGCTGCAAGTGTCCTTCCTAACATGTCTGCCTTCTCTTTATCTATCACTGCCAGCCTCTCCCCATCAACCAAAGCTGGAATTTTAATGGATTTCCTTTTCCCACTCATCCGCTTAAACATGGACCAGACATCACCTAATTTTACTCCTCTGCCAATGGTAGAACAAAATTCTCTCCATGTTCTTTTTTTTGTGTATTTGATTGTCCTTCGAGCAGCTGCCCTTTTCCTTTGAAACTCTATAACATTATTTTGTGTCATGTTTTTCTTTAATTCTCTAAATGCATTATTTCGCTCTTTAATAGCCCTGCTGCATTCCTCATTCCACCATGGCACCACTTTCTTCCTACCCTTGGTTGTTGTTTTGGGTATACTGTTCTCTGCTGCATTTAGAATATGTTGCGTTATTTGGCTTGTAATTACCTCTATGCTTCCCTCTGATGTTAGCAGGTGTACCGACTCCTCACACCATATCCTAAATTTCCCCCAATCAGCTTTAGCAAAGCACCACCTGGTTATTGCACCTCCTTCCTGTATATATACATTAGTATTCATTTTAGTAAGCACTGGATAATGGTCACTTCCTACTGTGGAGTTATTCAAAACAAACCATTCGCATGTATGAACCAAACAGTTTGACACTAATGTCAGATCCAGGCATGATACTTTCCCCCTGTGTACATCTACTCTTGTGCCATGTCCATCATTAAGGCATACTAGTGTTCTTTCCTCCAGCATTTCTTCCACTATATTTCCATTACTGTCTGTATGGTTGCTGCCCCATAGACTGTTGTGTGCATTGAAATCACCACACCAAACTTCCTTCCTATGTTTATTGCCTGCTATTTCTTTAAATATATCAGTGGTTAGATTTTTACATGGGTTGTATAAATTGATTATCCTAATGTTATCTTGTTTCCTAGGGTTGCAGATTTCCACTATAATACACTCTATATCATCAGGAGATTGCACCTCCATATGCCACACCATCTTTGAGAAACGTGGCACACCCTCCACCATTTTGATTATTATCTCTATCATGCCTTATACAGCTAAATCCTGGAATGACAAATTCTAATTGAGGTCGTAACCAGGTTTCTTGCACACATATTACCTCAGGGACTACCTCTAGATCATATATATATTTCTTGAATTCTTGACCATTAGCTATGAGGCTTCTTGCGTTCCACTGTAGTATGTGCAGCACCATGATTAAGGATCTAACCCTCATCCTGATTTTCATTTTCCCCAGCTCCATTTATAGTTAGCATTGCATGTATCTGATCTGCTTTAATATCTTTCATGTCAAGGAATTTTCCAGCTGCCTCCACAATGGCTTTGATTCTATCACTTTTCTTTTTTAACTGTAATGCAACATTTACAGTATGGCATATAAATACCACAAAATTCACCTTTTTCACTCCTAAAACATCATCATCCTCTTTACTCTTGGTGGCGCTGTGGGGTTGGATTTGAAGATTACTTTTTGGTGTGTTCCTGCCATTTTGTATTGTAATGCTCTGCTCCATTCCACTAGGGGTCTTATTGATTGTTACTGTTCCCCTTACTTTCTTTATTGCTTCTGCGTATGAAACTTTGTTTGTAATCTTAACTCTCTGCACCTCTCTGGCCTCTCTCTGCACTTCACAACCTCCAAACGCAGCACTGTGATCTCCTCCGCAGTTACAACATTTAACCTTTGCATCCTTTTCACATTTTCCATACTCATGTTTTCCTCCGCATCTCGCACACCTTAGCTGTCCTTTACACTGCTGCGCTGTGTGCCCCATTCGTTGACATGCGTAGCACCTGAGAGGTTTGGGGATGTACTCCCTAACCATGAAGTTCAAATATCCCATTTGTACTGCCTTAGGTAAGATTCTCTCAAACTGAATGAGAACTGATAATGTTTCTTTGAGTGTACCATCCCGTTTGCTTTTAAGCCTTGTGACTTCCACTATTTTGCCTCCTTTTAATTCACTTTTCACATCTTCCATTGACATGTCCAATGGTACTCCTGAGATTACTCCTCTCAGTTTTGCCATTGCTCCTGGAACATGCGCCTTCATTTTCTCCCCATTCAGTGAGTTCATTCCCAGAATCTTTTCCTGCTGCTGTTTGTTATTGGCATGTATCAATACCCGCTTATTGTTCATGAATTTAGCAAATTTAATTTTTCCAATCTCTTTTTCAATTGCTTTGGTAAGTTTAATCGGGTGGTAATGCCCACCATCCTGATTGAATTCTATTACCACTTTCCACTCGTGTTCTATTTCTTTATTCAACATTGCTTGGCTGTCATTTTGACTGACTCTTGATTTTTTGTTTGCTTAGCCTCGTCTGCTTCACCCGACCAATCCGACCAACTTCGAGCTCTTACTGAACTATCTCTTTCTCTCAAAGATCTTTTCTTCTTCGCAGCTTTGGCTATCATCCATTCCATATTGTTTCTTTGGCTACCATCTGAGCTGGTTGACATGATGAAACACTCAATGTACAGTTTATGCAAATCCGCCAAAATAACAGTCCAATGCTACCGTTTCTGTATGTATCCGAATTTCCGATTCTCTGTGAACTTTCTGCCACGCGTCTCCAACTTCACTTCCTTCTTCCGGCCGCCGCGCAGGCGAACTGTCCTTCCTCTACTGTTCCAATCTCCAGCATACTTGGAAATCTACCGAGCCCGGCGTACTCCGTTTGGAGAAATATCGAGGCTGCACATGAGTAGACACCGCGGTCTTAAAATCCCCACAATGCTTTGCGCATGGACCAATTTCCAAAATCTGTGGCGGAAAATGTAAGGCGGGGCCTATCATATGACGCACACCTGCACACTTGCTAGCGTGTTCCACTCTTCGTTTTCCGAATGCCAGGAAGTATTCTTGCCTCGCTTCTGAAGCAAGATGCTCGGCAGACATGTGCTACCAAACAAGCGTACTCGCGATTGAGAAACACCCATGGTTATGGCTAGAAAGGATCCGTCTTGTGTAAATATGACGTCACGTTCTCGTTGTAACTCTCGTTGTAATCGGAGCGGCTCGGAAACACATCTACAGCAGTAACATGCAACATACACATTAAAGGTGGGGTAGGTAAGTTTGAGAAACCGGCTCGAGATACACTTTTTGTTATATTCCATGGAATGCTCTTAACATCCCGATAGCAATGAATATCTTAAGTGCTTTGACAAAAAATCCATAAAAAAATGTCATCTGTGGAAGCCGTAATACTGTAAAAAGCACGACCAATCATTTTAGCCGGCCCGGCTAAAATAACTGGATGGCCTACCTGCCTGTCAGCCTTCCATCTGTGCACAAACTTATCTCGTGCCCTCATTGGTCATGTGTCGTGTGTGTTGGAGGAGGGGCTCTATAAAGAAGTGGGCAGATTTTCTCCGGTTGTGTATTTTCAAATTCTAGCGATCTCGAGCCGGTTTCTCAAACTTACCTACCTTTAATGCAGCAGCAATATTAATAGAGAAACATCAGACATAATAGTAAAACACTGAAAGGGAACATTTTATTGCACCAGGAGCTATCTTGGGACTTTTACTGCGACAACGTTGACTTGCCTGTGAATAAAAAATAAACCATAGTGTTGGTGATCTACAGTGTTGTCATTCTTCTTTGAACAGCAAGACCGCTAACACCCTATTTCAACAATCACACTCCCTGTAATTGACATAATTAATAGATAGTTTAGCTTCTCACCATCATTTGCTGTGGCCCACTGATGTTAACGATCGTAACTAAAAGGCTGCCTGCCAAACGTAAACATTCAGCCACGTGACTTGCAAACTCTCGCGAGAGTTTTACACAAGACGGATACCTACACTTTTTTTTCTTCTAGCAAATCTTAAACTGATGTTCGTTTATACATTTTAAGAATGGCTTTTATCTTTTTCTGAAAATTAGTTCTTATTTTATGTAATTTATTTTGGTCTACAACAGATGATACAAATGTTTGTATGTCAGTAAATGTGTAGCCTACTAACAGTGGCGGGGGGGTTGTGTGTGTGTGGGACAGAGCTGGCTGCATTATACATGGGTTTCAGACGATCAGCTGTGCCGGCGTCATCACAAACGGACGTCGCTTTACGTGACGCTCCGAGGAAAGGACGTCCCATTGCTCTTAAAACAAATGTCCTGACTTCCTCTCTCTTCTACTGGTTTCCTTAGGTTCATCCAAGCCCCCAGGAATTGCGCCGGACTCTGAGGAAAATATTCGTTGTGTCCAAACTCCAATAACACCCAGCTGCAGCCGCAGCAAGACGGTGGAGGTTGAACCTGCAGGAAGTTGAAGGAAGTGAAACTTCCAAATGGTCAGAAGAGAGCGCGCCCAAAACGCTGACGCAAGGATATTTAAAGAGACATGGAAGTTTAAAGAGAACGCAGAAAAAGACAATATGGAGCACCGAGTACAGGTAATTAACGTCTTGTGGTTTAGATATCTTTACATACTATTTAGGTTCTCGGCTGTTTGTCGATTTGGCTGTTTAGCGCAGTGTAAATTGTATTTTAAATATTCCATTCAAAGGAATGGAATATATATATATATATATATATATATATATATATATATATATATATATATATATATACAGTGGCGTTTTTATATGTACAAAAGTGGTGGGGCACAAAAAACTTAGATGTCTATATATAAGCTTCTGCAGTGAGGTTCATGGCTGGTGAGGCACTGGCACTGACTCTTCAGGTTTACAAATATTATATTTTGACCTAAACCAAAATATAATATTATTTTCAAAAGCTTTTTTTGTCTGATGCTTCGATTAATTTTAAACAGACAGTTCAACAAAAGGATACCCAAAAAATGTAATTTGATCATTTAAATATTGAATTGTTCTCTCTAAGTAAGATCCCATTTTCAAAAAATTGCGGTCTTACCTTGACTTGAAGATGAAGTCCATTTGCCTATCCTTCTGGACAAAAAATTCTATAACTTTTTTGTAAAAGTCCTCCTTATCATCTTGTAGTTTCAAAAGTCTATCATAAATCTAATCGATAGATTTATGATTCGAAAATGATAAAAGTAGGGTAGACATGTGGATATTATCCGGCTGAACAAAACGTGCATTTATCTAACAGGTACGTTTCCCACAGATCTTATTTCAAGCTATTTTCTAAAATCCTATAGAGAAACCTCATTGCTTTTTTGCAGCTTACTTCCTGGTTTTAGGACGCGTCACTGCAGCTCTCGTCTCCTCTTATTATACATCCATGCTCTTCACACACCACACTTTTCGCGGCACACGTACTTACAGCCAATCAGCTCTGAATGATGTGAGATGACGTATGGTGGGGATGGCAGCTCTGTGCCCCTATGGTGTTTTTTTTTTTGCCACACACATTACATTGAAAAATACTCTGAGCATGCGCAGTGTAGTTTTTACAGTCACCGTTCACTTTGACAGTGAAAGGGTGGGGCATGATCAGGTTTTGTCCCACATGGCTCAAAACGGCACTGTAGACACTAATTAGAAGAACACAGACTAAAACAGCAATGCACAGACGAATCAGATGATTAAACATGACCTTAAAATATATTTTATATATTTTTTTATTTCTTTTTTTGCATCTCTTTCCATTTTTTGTAATCATTATGTGTAATACTTTCTGCTGACACTAGGTGGGGCTGTGCCCCACCTGCCCCTAATGACCAGTCGCCACTGTATATATATATATATATATATATATATATATATATATATATATATATATATATATATATATATATATATATATATACACACGTATGCTAACTGAGCATGTCAAGCTAAGAGCTAAGCTATATATCTTAGCTTGACAGATGGAACAATGCATATACTCAAATGTTTACAAGAATCTGATTTTGTGTAAGTTTTAAATATTCATTAAAATTCAAAAGCAGCCTTTGAAGGAAAGTCTTTCACATTTGAATGTTTATTTATTTAAAACTTGTATTAGTTGCTACACTGTAGCCATGTACATATGCAGTGTTGTATACTTTATATTATTCCTTTTAAGTGTGGTTTAAAGTAAAATTATATAAACGTATTGGGTAGAGCCAAGTAACCCAGGTGGATGCAACCAGGTAATTAGGACAGAGCCTCTGTTTTTAGATGGGGTTTGTGGCCATGTTGGTGGCCTGACGTTTAAAATAAATGATCAAATCAACTTTTATTTGTAAAGCACATTTAAAAACGATCTTTGGTCGAGCCAAAGTGCTGTACATGTAATAAAAGCACACTACACTATTTATGAGTTTTTATTCTTAGTTTCTCTTTAAACCTTCTGAAAGTGAGGAAGTATGACCAGCTTCGTCCCACAGGATTATACAGGCCAGTCCATTGCTGCTTGTTTAAGGAGTTAAAGGTGGGGTAGGTAATTTTGGAGAAACCAACTCGAGTGCGCTAGAATTTGAAAATACACAGCCGGAACAAATCTGCCACTTCCTTACAGAGCCACTCCTCCAACACACACGAACACGCACATGACCAATGAGGGAGGGCACGAGATAAGTTTGTGCACAGATGGAAAGCTGACAGGCAGGTAGGCCATCCAGTTATTTTAGCCGGGCTTCCACAGATGACATTTTTTTATGGATTTTTTTGTCAAAGCACTTAAGATATTCATTGCTATCGGGATGTTAAGAGCATTCCATGGAATATAACAAAAAGTGTATCTCGAGCCGGTTTCTCAAACTTACCTACCCCACGTTTAACTATTTCCAATATTAAACTCACTTAAATGGTATTATATTTTTTCACCTATAGACAAACAGCACAACATTCCCAGATGGAGCATGCCCAGAGCTAAAAAAACTAGACTTGGACACTTTCAAGTGTCCATTTTGTCACAGGACCGGGTCATACCCTGGCTTGGTGGCTCATTTGCAGAGCCACCAGAGGTCGCTTGTAAAATATGGAGGTAAGTCCATCTATAATTCTATATGATCATTGTATACTTCATAATTTGAATTTCGAATGGTCTCCAAGTTTCCTTAAGGTGTAATGCCTCACACATTTGGGGTTAATGGCACAATATGAGCATAATCACACATTCAATCTGCAAAAATGCAGTTTATAGGCAAAAATATTATTGTTGGTGACATGATTATTTATTGCTCTCGCACAAACACCTTGTGTATAATTGCATATTTACAAGGAAATCATTTTGATTTGTTTCTAGAATCCTCTAAACCACTTATTGTCTCTTTTTTAGGTTATAATGTCTATAAATGCCATCTGGACTGTGTGGCCAGCAGCCATTATCACTGTGGCCTTTGCCCACGAATCATTGGGAGAAAGGAGATGTTCTTTAATCACTTTAAAAACTGCTGCACTCAACTTCCAACTACGTTGGCGTCAATGGCTACAGCTCCAAATAAAACAGTCACTCCGGCCACTGCTCCAATGACAGCCACAACTAGGTCTCTGATGATTCCGGCAACTACATCGACCGCTCCAGTGATGGCCCCAGCGACCACATCGACCGCTCAAGTGATGGCCCCAGCGACCACATCGACCGCTCCAGTGATGGCCCCAGCGACCACATCGACCACATCGACCGCTCCAGTGATGGCCCCAGCGACCACATCGACCGCTCCAGTGATGGCCCCAGCGACCACATCGACCGCTCCAGTGATGGCCCCAGCGACCACATCGACCGCTCCAGTGATGGCCCCAGCGACCACAACGACCGCTCCAGTGATGGCCCTGACTGCTGCAGCAACATGGCATAATATTTCCACAGCCCCCAAAATGTTGATGTCAAAGCGCAAAAACACAACATGTTGTTTTTGTAGCCTACAACTCCTTAAGAAAAACCTAAAAATGCACATACAAAGGCACCACTCATCCAAAACATCAGACATCACAGCAAATCGCCACCTAAAATCAGAGTGCATTGATCAAAATAAGGGAATTTTTGCAGTTTCCAGGACCTTTAAGGGTCCTGGGAAGTTGATATTTTGTTTCTTAAAAGATTAAATCTTTAAAAACATGCTGTTTGCGATTTTTAAAGTTTGTTGGAAGAAATCTAAATATAGGTCACTGACGTGGAGCTTTAGGCCTGCAATGCTTTACAAACAATGTTTTAGTTGTTTCAGTTTTGAAGAGTGAATATGGATGTTTAATTCACAAATGAGTATGAATCATCTTAAACAAGAACAGGATCCATGATGCCTGTTTTTTAAAGTACAGAAACATTCAGAATGCATGACGATTCCTGCAAAGGTTTTGTATTAGACCCCTAGTACTCTTAATTTATAAAGTAATAATAATTACAAATGTGAATGATTTAGCTCATTAGTGGCCTGACTGGCCCTCCTAATTTGGTCTAAAAAAAAGTAAATGATGATCATTGTGAAGGGGTGTCCAGCCCATATCAATAACATACTGATATGGGCCAATGTGAGATTCAGAAATTAGTTTTAAAAATCATGTTTTTATGTTATAGTAGGCCTACCTAGCCAGACATGAATCTGTTTGAAACTTTAATGACCCCATGATGTGATTATTTATATTTTAAAACGTATAACAACTATACTTTGATGTTCATAAATATCTACATTTATGTATAAATAAATGCATGTGTAGCAGTTAGACAAACATAATGAATAGTTTATCTCATTAATGCCTATTTTATATGTACTCTAAAAAATATAAAGTTTACTAAGCCACCTTTTTGTTTTAATTGATTAATTAGACTAAATGATTTGTGCTGAAAGTCATATACTGTTGTGTGTCAAACCAGGAGGGGAGAGAGAGCTTGACGCTCGTGAACTGTCAACGGGGAGGCTCAGCGAACCGAGCCGGCTGTGTACATTTGCAGCACACCAATGCCAGCCAGCGGCCCACCAAAGGCAGCGGCCCACCGGGAAAAGTCCCGACTCTCCCGATGGCCAATCCGAGCCTGTCTCAAATTCCAGTTCCTGTCAAAACAATGATCCAACAGTTATTGGTGTACTCGAACATTGTGAGGCTCCCTCCTTTCCCTCCTTTCAGATGGAGGGTGTAAATACCAAGCTTTGGAACAAACTCCCCTCTCTCCGGCAGAAACAGGAAATGCTGTAAATTGATGTAACAACGGTTTCAAACAGCATCTCTTGGACAAAAACAAATAATGAATAACTAAAATAAAACTCCAAACATCTTTAATTGTGTTACTTTTTTGTAAAGCTCTTTTACAAGTTTTAAACCTGATGTTTTTAAGCTTCTTAGTTTTTGTAACAGTCTGTAAATATACACAACTTTATAATAAAATGCACACATTTACCTTTTTCTAGACTAAACACAGGTATGATCCTAAGTTAAAAAAATGAGGTTATCATGAGGTTGTTAACGTCGCAATTTATCAGTGGATGTTTGATGGAATTATTTGTACACAGCGTGTTTCATGACGGACACACCTAGCTTTGAGTCCGGTCAGGTAGTGCAGCAGGTGAAGGCCCAATCCCAAACCACTCCCTACACCCTACCCCTCCGTGACGGAGTGAACTCCATCTGTAGCCACACTCACAGCTGAATGAAGTTCCCTCCATTAAGGGTTTAGGGCAGGGCTTCTCAAACTCCGGACCAAGGTCCGGATCCGGACCGAACCCTGTGTCCCATTATATTAAAAAAAAAAAAAAAAAATCTGATTCTGATAAATTAATGTACATCATTGTGTACGCGCGTCTTGTGTCTGACGCATAGTGAGAATGAACGTGCATATATATTTACTTGTGTGCGCGAGCGTGACACTCATTGCAGACCGCAAGTTAACCGCAAGTTTACCTTGACTTTCTAATGCTTCTAATGCCTTTTTTGCCGAGGTTCAAGGCATTGACTACAGACAAACAGCCAAGCCACCATACTGTATGTATGTATTGAATGTGTGAGTGTATAAAGCGGCGCCGTTTGCCGACAGGCAAGGCAGGCAAGTGCTTGGACCAGAAGGGGGCCCCCAAAGAAGGTAGATTAAGAAGGTCCACAGCAACGACAACATGAAACCATGGATGTATAATAAGAACTGGATACAGCGTGGGAGGCGGGGCCTCATTCATTCCTATGAGTGTTGCTCATTCGCGCATGATGATAAAATGGCCCAACTTTTGAGAGAGCGAAACGTCACAGATTACCTGGCATGCCTGAGAAGTACCCGTATGTGCGCTCATAGCGCATGCGCAACTTTAACCATGCCCCCCAAAATGCTCGTTCACATCAAGCACGTCAATTTGCGTACACGTAACAGCACCGCACGTTCATGACAGCATGGTAATGGTTTGTTATTATGATAGATTTGATATTAACGAGGCGGCCGTTAGCAGCTAGCGGTTAGCTAGTAATTATGCTAATTTCAACATCAATCGTTATGTACTTTTATATTACGCTGTAACAGGATCAAGTGATATCCAAGCAACAGAGCTTCATTTAGCATGAAAGAATTATTGCACTGTATATATATATATATATATATATACAGTGCAATAAGCTTCTTAGTGCAATAAGAAGCTACAGGGACGTTAATCTACGTCGGTAATATTAACTTTATTTAATACAACATTTACGGTACAAGATTTAATCATACAGCCCATGTAGTATAATATTTTACAAATGATGAATTACAGCAAACATGTGCAATATATCCATTATTACAGCTCCGTGGGCTGGCAGTAAGGTGATATGGGTCCGTTCTTATTGTGCATCCATGGGTAAAGATAAACGCATGTAGTGCTGAACACGTAACATGAACGTGCCGGGCGGCGCAGTCCCGTGGGTTAGATGCGCGTTCATAATGCAGAGGGAAATAACTCACAGAAAAACGTTATTAGCACGATTTACAGACCACTCTTTCCCCATGTAAGTCAATGGGAAAAAGTGTTTCCGGGCCTGGCAACCAAAAGGAAGTGTAGTACCGCCGTTTGGCCAGCACGAATATTTTCATCTGAGTCCGGCGCACTTCCTGGGGGCTTGGGCCCCATGCATAGCGCGCCATAAGAAACTGCTTCTTAATTTCAGTTTCGTTTCAAGGGGGGGGGGGGGGGGGTGACTTTACTGGCATTGATCCGGACCAGTGACCTTGTATAAAGTTCACAAGTGGACCTTTAATCAAAAATGTTGAGTACCCCTGGTCTATGGTTTTAACTTGGAGGCTACGATTAGCATCGTTAGCACCGATGTAGCTACCACACGCTTACACGCTAACACATTCATTACGTAGCTGATTAAAATCATAAACACATAAATAAAGTACTCGAATTTCACTTACCGCAAAACCGCATTCATGCACCGTCTGTTTTAACCGCAGAGCGAGTCACAATAGTCCGATATATACGCATGAAGAACAAACAAACACGGCCGGGGTCAAGTTGTGTTCCCTGGATGAACTGAGCAGGCAGAGTCCCTGTAGCTTCACGGAGCAGCTAGCAGAGAGACAAGAAGCTAACAGCAGCAGTCACTTGACAGAGCTGTCACTCAATGTGACCACGCCCTAATTTATGCAAAAACTTTAAGACCTAATATAAATAAAAGGGTCGCGTTAGAAAACAATTCACTCACAGATTCATAATCATGAAGGTGGAATCTAACTATATCTATAATAATATTTATTGGATCCATGGGTAGAAACATGTTTTTTTAGACTGTAAAATTGGGCATTTTAACATGGGGGTCTATGGAAATTGCTCCTTTCTGCAGTCATCGCCTATCGGCCAATATGAACTGCAGTTTGTGGCACTTCCGTATTGGCGTCCCGGCTCTTCCCCAGAGTTTGCCGCTTGGGAAACACTCACAAGAAACACCGGCTGTTGTTATGCCTGCTGTGACGTTAAGTTGCCGCTTGTAATTATGCCTTTACAAGCTTCAAAGTTGTATTTATCATCTGAATTTGGCGAAAACAAGTTTAATATTCTAAAAACCAAGACAAACTGTCACGGACCCTGCCGTGTTATCTATGATTACTATACGCTTTTCATTCATAATTTCAGCGGGAGGGGGAGCGGCGCTGAGGAACAGCAGAGTGCGCGTTGACAGGTGTCTGTGTTGACATTCCCCTTATTGTGGAATAAGGGGAATGCAGAGACAGGCTACAAGTGTCTTAGGTTCAAGTTAGACAACTAATGTCTGGGTAGTGTTCATGACTTCATGTTTATGTCATCTTAATGGTTAATCTCAATGCACACACATTTCCCGTGCTTTCCAATAGTTTAAAATAGTTTTATTCCACTGTTAAATAACCTGTTCAATACAAACATGCCACTTGTAAAAATTAAATAACATTTCTGTGAACTGATATTTGTTTAGTGAGCTTATTAGAGGATGTTCCCTGAAAGATTGTAAAATGTCAATGAAGATGTCAGACTTAGTATATTTGTTAATAATTACATACAACACATGGAATTTCTGTGTGTGTGTGTGTGTGTTCCAAGTGAATCTGTGGCCCCCTGGTGGCCAGTACATCAATTATGTGGCCCCCACCACCATCAAAGTTGCCCATCCCTGGTCTATCTGACAGAGAAATGTAGCAGATTCTACCGTTATCGTCCTCGTGTGGCTGCAGCCTAGACTCTCCCTTTAATCAGAGGAATGCCCTCTAGGCAAAATATGTTCATTCATGAATGAGCAGCATTTCTTGATTAAATGTAAAATTAATAAAATGGTTGTGGGTTAGGCTTCACATGGGGTCAGAACATAAAAAAGATAAACCGCCAAACTTGGTAGATCGTGTTTTTTATTTGTATTTGCATATTTCCTTAACTTTACTTGAAGCCATGTCAAAGAAGCTGGAGACACTCGAAAATCAAGTTTTCAGCATATGGAAAGCTGGAGTCAACCCCCGCTCTGCAGTGTGGTATCACAGGATCCCTCTAATCACCCTGCTCTACAAGTTACACTGAAACATATACAAATGCGATGCTTTCTACACAATGTATTTTTCTCTGTACATCTTTATAATTGTATGCCAAATACTCTTATACAGATAAATACACATTTTAGACTTCACATTTCATTGTAAGTTTTTTTATCAGGTTTATGATTAATTCAGAAGATAAGTCATCTATAGTACTTAATTTTTCTCACAATAATAATAAAAGCTATTATGCAAGTCAAAGACAGTAAATGCATAACTTCATCGACTAAACCCTTTTAAAGAAATGCATTCTTTGAAAATGTATTACCCATAACCACCAGGTGGTGGATCTCTTCCATAGGGGACACTCCTATAGAGGGGAGGACACACACTCCATTCACACATGGTTGCCTCCCCCTCTTGCATGAAAAGTGTGCCTGTGCATGAGGCAGTCGGGAACATTCAGCAGTAGTAGTGCCTTCCCTGCCTGGCTGCATTCTTACAACAGATCTGGGGCAAGAAGACAGCGGGTCATGCATTGAATCAGAGACTGGTGGAGAAAATGGTGCAGTTTCTGTCTTTGCTAATATAGAGCAGTGGAACTTGGGTTTGTTAACAAAATAGATTATTTTTAAACAATTTCAACTATTTTTGACAAACATGGGGTGCTCCTCATCCAGTGCACAGACTGTTGATCAGGAGAAAAGACCAGGTACAAAGCCAGAGGAGGCCAATGGAGATACAGTGGGTAAGTTTGAACAATCTATGTTTAAATGTCTAAACGTGTCTAGCTTAGTGTATGTTTAATGAATAAGCATACCATATGATTTATACACTTACTCTACATTTACATATGTAGAGTAAGTCACTTTTATTCAGTCAAGGCTTGCTGAGGGGTGTGTGACTCTACTCTGGAACACTGTGTGCTTTCTCACTCTCTTCTGCTTCGAAGCATTCTACAGCAGCCCATGTAGAGAATTATTCATGTTTACCCATTTTCTCATTGCTCCCCAGAAGTGGTCAGCATTTATTTTTAATAAGCCATTTCTAGCTTGGTATCCATTCAAAATATGCTGCCAGAAACGGAATGTTTTGGCTTTTTATCAAATGAGAGCTATATTGTGTGTTTGTGTTTAATTTTCCACTCCTCTCCTTACCAAAGCCAATTGGGTATTTACATGTACATGAAGCTAGCTTTGTAAAATGTAGTGAGGACTTCATAAAACTCTGACAGTAGCACCGTGTGAAAGCCAGCTGGGATTGTTCAGCAGTGCATCTGCAGCCTGAGGAAAGAGTTGTGACCAAACCGTTTTTCTGCCAATCTACAGTAGTCTGATTTGTGAATTAAATTATGTTTCCCTACATAGTGTGCATGCTTTTTGTGCATCCAAAGTCTGAATAGAAAGTTTTCCTCAAAAGTGAGTTGCTTAGATTACCATCTGTTTATGCATGATAAGGAGTGTTTGACACTGCTCCAGGAATTTAGCGCTCGCACAAAACAATGGATGCTGGATTTCAAAGGAGAGGGGCTAGTAAAAAAGCCCAAATGCTTTTCAGGCTATCCTGGAATTTCTGAATATACATGTTACATCTGAACTTGCAGTCATGCTCTGTAGTTCTTGTTTTGTTTGTCATTTGGATTCTTATGTTCAAGCCCTGTGTACACTGACCGTGATTGTCTATTCATGCGTGTCATCAGTGTATGATGTTTGTACCATAGCATTGTCTCTTCAGCCTGCCAGCTACAGTAACCTGGAAAAGCTATCCAGACTCTTACATCATTCCCACAAGAAAACCACTTATTGTATTTTTCAGGAAGGCTTCTCCAAATGAATGGGTGGAGTTTTAAATCATACAGTCACTGTATGATCCACCACTGGTCGCATCCCCTGACCGGGCCCCCTATACTTTACATCCCATCCCTCCCTCTTCTCTGTGTTCTAAGCCAACCATGGCACTTCTTTTGACTGGGATCATCTTTGGCTGCTAAATTATGTTGAAATTCTGGTCATCCATGCCTGGAGAGGCTGTCTATGTCTCCACCAAAACTGTTTTTAACACCAGTTCAAGCTGCACAACAGTGTGGAATACTCTGTTAGATGGTATGTGAGCCGTAAATTGGAAACTAATGGAAACATGTTTAAATTCAATTAAGGGGAGTATGTTAAGTAATACCATAATAACAATTAGACATTTAAAAAAAACACTTATAAGTCTGCAGTTCTGAACTCTTAGTTGAAACTTGATATTATTAGAAATATGTCACTTGCATAGCTTACCCACTTTTTTTCTCTGTTGCATTTCTTCCAATGATTCCTTTTCGTTTGAGTTGCCAGCCCGTCACATTCCTTTCCACCCATCACTCTCAGCTCTTTTTAGCACTTCTGACAGACGAATAAATTCCGGAAGCTGTGGCTTCTGAACCATCCACCCATTCAGCTTTCTGAACCATTCTGCTCTGTCTTAGCTGGTGTTTTTGCAAATAAATTAGCTGCAAAACTTATCTAGAGAGAAACTGTCACTTAAAATGTCCTAGGCTGCCATTGATACTAAATTCATGTTTTTCCACCTGAGGGCTTGTTACTTGTTCAAATATCTATAACAGCAGAGGTAAAAAAGGAGAATGAAGGAAGGGTCTCTCTCAAAATGCAACAAATGCATTGTCATGTGTATTTCATTTCCTCAGAGAGTGACTTGCATGTCCTCCGGGCTTTAGACAAAGACTGGCTTCAATAAATCACATTTTTAACCAGGGAAATGAAAGAATGTTTTCTCTAGCAATGCAGTTTGTGAACCTTGTTGCCTTTATTTTCCATCTCCTGCATTCCATGAGTTAAGGTTAATTTGTATTATTCATATTATTTATTAGATTGACTTCAGACATTTGTCTTTGGCCTCTTACAAGAACAGCAAAATGATATGCAAAAACATGCTGATTAAGACAGATTAAGACAATAAAATACAGGAATAATTTAACACCCTGCAATATAGAAGTCTATTCTTCGTTGAATGTCACCTTAGGATGCATTTGAATTTGGCCATTAGAAATGTTGTTATTGAAGCCTACTGTAGATTAGCTCACCAACCCCCAAATCATGTTCAATTTAATGAAATTAGGAATGTTCTCTTAATCATTTTTGTTGCTTAGCGTTGTCAGGTAGTTACTGTTACAGATTAACAGGGCATCACAAAGGGGCGATGTAGATTGATAATATGCTTGCAAGTCGTACATCTAAATATAAAAAATGTTCTGTTGTCCACCCTGTTTTTACAGCAGTCAGAAATGGCTTCATTGCAGAAGATGCACAAACCATCGAGGACCAGATACAGTTGCCTGTGCAGACTGCCTTACCGGACAATTTTCAACCAGGAGCCGATGATGAAGCTGATGTGGTGTTGGTAGCCCTGGAGGCCCAGGAGGATCTTGGGTCTGGGGAGGACCTCCTGTCTACTCCTGAGCCACAGCTAGAATCTGTCAGCCCTTCAGAGCCAGTTCCAGAAACTGCTGCTCCAACTGAAGCCTACACTGAACCTGAGGCTGCTGTAGAGGTATTGGAGGCACTACCCCATTTAGAGAAAGCCGTCCCTGTAGAAACGTTACTGTCTGAGGCCACTCCTGTGGTCGAAGCCCTGGTTGAGGAGGCCACTGCTGATCTAGCTGTGCAGGCAGAGGCCCCTGCTGATGTAGCTGTGCAGGCAGAGGACGCTGCTGATGTAGCTGTGCAGGCAGAGGACCCTGCTGTTGTAGCTGTGCAGACAGAGGCCCCTGTTGTTGTAGAAGAGGCAGCAGCTCTAGCTGTTGAGGCCCCTGCTGTAGTGGCTGCTCATGTGGAGGGAGAGGCTCCAACTGACAATTCTGCATCCGCTGCTACCTCAACAGAAAAATGTGTATACCCAGAACCATTTGAATCTGCTGCCCCAGCACCAACTGAAGCCCCAGCACCAGCTGCAGCTGCAGCTACAGTCCCAGCACCAGCCCCAGCACCAAATGAAGCCCCAGAACCAGCTGCACCAACAACTGAAGCCCCAGAACCAGCTGCAGCACCATCTGAAGCCCCAGCTCCAGCTGTAGCTGCAATCCCAGCACCAGCACCAAATGAAGCCCCAGAACCAGCTGCAGCAACAAATGAAGCCCCAGAACCAGCTGCAGCACCATCTGAAGCCCCAGCTCCAGCTGTAGCTGCAATCCCAGCGCCAGCACCAACTGAAGCCCCAGAACCAGCTGCACCAACAACTGAAGCCCCAGAACCAGCTGCAGCACCATCTGAAGCCCCAGCTCCAGCTGTAGCTGCAATCCCAGCACCAGCACCAACTGAAGCCCCAGAACCAGCTGCACCAACAACTGAAGCCCCAGAACCAGCTGCAGCACCATCTGAAGCCCCAGCTCCAGCTGTAGCTGCAATCCCAGCACCAGCACCAACTGAAGCCCCAGAACCAGCTGCACCAACAACTGAAGCCCCAGAACCAGCTGCAGCACCATCTGAAGCCCCAGCTCCAGCTGTAGCTGCAATCCCAGCACCAGCACCAACTGAAGCCCCAGAACCAGCTGCAGCACCATCTGAAGCCCCAGCTCCAGCTGTAGCTGCAATCCCAGCACCAGCCCCAGCATACACTGAAGCCGCAGCACCTGAAGCAACAGCCGCAGCACCAACTGAAGCCGCAACACCAACCGAAGCAACAGCCACAGCACCAACTGAAGCTGCAGCACCAACTGAAGTCGCAGCACCAACTGAAGTCGCAGCACCAACTGAAGTCGCAGCACCAACTGAAGTCGCAGCACCAACTGAAGTTGCAGCACCAACTGAAGTTGCAGCACCAACTGAACCAACAGCCACAGCCCCAACCGAAGCAACAGCCACAGCACTAACTGAAGCTAAAGCCCCATCACCAGCAGTAGTAGCAGACGAGGCTTCAGAACCAAGTGAAGTATCAGCATCGGACGAGGCAGTACACACTCTTATAGATATAAAGATTGCTGCAGCAACTATTCCACTGTTGCCTCCATTATCACCAGTCACTGCAGCTGCTCAAACAAAGGCAGATCCCTCACCTAAAGGTATGAAACTCTAACACCGATCATTGTAAGTAAGTTTACCCTGTTTTCTTTAATAGTCTATTATAAAAATCTAAAATCCTTCATCATTCTTTTTAGTAATCTGTTCCAACAACAGAGACTTAACAAAGCAGATTCAGTTTTCTATATGTGACAATCCTAGTGGGAGATATATGCCTTTTTTTTAACACCGTTCTGTATTTCTTGAGGGAGTTTACTGCTCAGTGATTTTACATGATTAAAACCTGAAGTGTTTCCTGACAAACCTGTAATGCAGAAACAAAAGAAACTATTCAAAGCATATTCCGATTCAGTTTTCTATATGTGACATTAGCGTAAAACCATGTGTTAAACTGCTTGATAGCAGGGTTCCCGCGGGGTCTTAAAAAGTCTTAAAAAGTCTTAAATTTGATAATATGAATTTAAGGCCTTAAAAAGGTCTTAAATATGGCCAAAAAAATAAGAAAGGTCTTAAATATGATTTAGAAGGTCTTAAAAATGATCGGATTTGAAAGGTACTTCTGTGTTGCGATAGCGTCTAAATGTGTTTTGGGGGAAATGTCCGGGCTGCAAAGTAACCAGTATGGTAATAGCCTTTCAGTTCCCCCCAACAATTTGTATTGAAATAAGTCAACATGGAACCAGTAATCACTAACTTTGTTTCCGCCGGCCCCTTATTGGAGAACACCCAGCTAGAAACCTAGCAACCAAGCTTCAGCTAGCGGCAGACAGAAACTCATGTATCTTCGAATAAATATGGGGAAGTGTAAGTTCAACCGTTATTGGTTGGAAAACATCAAATTTAGTGCTTGGTTGAAACCAGGGGAGGGGAACGTGTTTAAAGCCCGCTGCACCTTTTGCAAAATAAATTAGCGTTTGTTTGGCTAATGTAGCGTTAGCTAGTGCAGCGTTAGCTAGTGCAGCAGCTCCCGCAACAACACATTGGGACCTCCGGGCAACGTTTGGGTCTACGTCAACCCTAAAAGCGGAGGTGCTGTAGACGCTAAATACCGTAGTTAAACACCAATCATACAACAGCAACGATGAAAGATTGTAGCCAAGGCAGCAGAGCTCTGAATATAGCTCTTGTCACTCTCTCTCTCACACACACACACACACACACACACACACACACACACACACACACACACACACACACACACACTAGGGCTGCTCGATTATGGCAAACATCATAATCACGATTATTTTGGTCAATAATTGATATCACAATTATTAAATACAATTATTAATTGACTTTGAAAACATCCATTTATTGAACTTTAAAACAAATAATAATTTGGACAGTATCTTTTTAACTGTTGATTACCCTGAACGTATAATTCAACGGAAAAAATAAATTAAATAAATGATACATTTAAATAAATAATATCAAAAATAATAAATACCAATAAACAAGATCAACAAATATTTTGGAGCGCACTTCCACACATATGATAAATAAAAATAAATTAGACTAAAATTAATTAATCAAATATGTTGTAGTGCACTGTCACAACCTAGCAAAGCAAAATAATCGATTATGTTGTTTCGTAATTGTGATTAAAATATGGTTAATTGCACAGCCCACACACACACACACACACACACACACACAAGCACACAGAGACACACACACATACACACTTTTTGTCTAACACGCTAACACAGTTCTGTACTGTTATGCTGTTATGTTCAGTCATTGTTCTTATGTTGAACATGAATACATTTATGGGACGTATTTCTTCTTTCATAGCAATTTTCCTTCATACTTTCTTGCCGTGAAATAGGTCTTAAATTCTATTCAAAGTGGTCTTAAAAAGGTCTTAAAAAGTCTTAAATTTGAGTTGGCGAAACCTGCAGGAACCCTGGATAGTCACCGTCCACTTACTGGTCGGATGGCTGAGTTTTTGGGTGGAGGTCAAACAGTAGAGCATTGCTACTAGCTAAAATAGCTGGTAAATCTATGCAAACATGCTTACCAATTAGATGTGTAAACAAGCAGAAAGGGGATAGAAAATGAAGAAATATTTCAGTGTTTTCATAATTATTTTTTACATCCAGGTAAACGATCAATGACCCTTCACCAGCCATGCAAGCCAATCTGTCTTCTTGTTACACATAAAGACAAAGTTTAACAACATCACTCCCTTGAAGGGGCTGCCATTATAATTAAGCAGGTAAAAACACACATGGCAACAACAAACTCAGTTTACCATAAAATTGTCATTGTAATAAACAATACTTTACATTGGTCCCTGCCTGTCCTGTGATTGGTCCGAGCTGACAGGATGAACAGGATATTGTTGGGCCGTGGTGCTGAACAGATAACATAGTGTGAACAAATAAAAAGCAATCACACACTCTGGGAATGAGAAATTAACGCTTTTCTTGAGTGTGTCCATTTTACCAAGAGCATGCTAACAGTACAATAGATTCAGTCACGCAACTCTCACTCATTGTACTCTATTGTGAACTGTCTTCTATCATACCGTGTTGCTTCAAATTACATACAAGTCAATGTAAATGTAACATAAACAATATTTGACTTAATTGGGAATGTAATTTAGCACTAAGTAAATGCACAGGACATCTGGTTGTAATTTATAAAGGAATAATTTACCCACAAAATGACAATTTATTTATAAATGTCTCACTCCACATGTAACCTTGAATTATTGAATACAACTTTTCTCTTGTGTGTTCTCAAAAGCCTCCAGGCTGAAAAAATTGGGTGGTGTATGGGAGAGAAACTCCCTCTGGAGGGAACACAGGGATTTATTTTAACAATATATTATAGGTATCAGATACACAAAACGTCTCTGAAGAGTTTGTCTCCTAATACCAAACAGATAATTGTAGCATCCCATAAACCCCTCTGTTTCAGGCGGTTTCAAAAGTGCTGATTCTGTGTCTGTAGCTTTAAATGCAAATGAGCTGCTGCTGGCCACGCCCCCCTGCAAGATGCTTGGTTTAAAAAAACATAATGGTGCTCTAGGAGGAGATAGAGTGGCGAAGTCACGCCCATCTACTTCCGGTCCATGGGACCTTATTTCGGAAAAATTATGTATTGAAGTCAATGGAGAGAGAAAACGTATCTTTCGATCCCGTTTGAATTGTGCCATGAATTACACATATGATGTTTGTCAATCTTAAAAAATGTCCATGTCAAAAAAGTCACAGTTTGTCGTAAAACTGTTGAAATATAAGACTATGAAAAATACGCAACTAGAAAGACTACAAATCCCAGAGTCACGTAAGTGATGTCACTCATAACTGATGTCACAATTGTTTTCCTCCACTAAAATAGAGATAGCTAAGATAAGATAACTTTAACAAGATGCCTGTGTGCTTAGTACCAGGTTGTTATCATACCAGCAATGGGTCTTGCTCGTTCTTTCGCTCCCCGTCTGATGAAAGGACCAGGAGTGGCTGGATCAAGTTAGCTACCTAGCTAGTAGCAAGCACGTTAGTTAGCATTACAGCCGGCTTAGCCTTGTCATTTTTATTAGCCTTAACATTAAGTAACATTAAGTAACCCAAAATGTTAAACAGTAAGAGTAGTAGTCATATTTCGTGAACCCTTTGAAGAGTACTGTCACACCGGTGTGATCATTCAATAATACACCATTTAAGCCCGGGGGAGAAATGCTAACGCTAACGCTACATTAGCTTCGGCGATCTTTTCTACTTCATGCTATCTGCACAAATGGTTGACATTAAACATTAAAAAGATCAGGCAGTTCAGAGAGAATCAAAGGAAGGCAGGCAGGCAGGCAGCTTTGCATGACATTCTTCTGGACGTGTTTCATTGTGGTGATAGTGAGGGTAGTCAATCACTTTTTTGACAAGACAGTAGTGACGGCCATCTTGGTGACGTGTGTTGTTGTGCAAGACACAGTTTTACGACACATTTTTTTTTTTTTTACTTGCAAAATGATCTTTTAAATTGACAAACATCATATGTGTAATTCGTGGCACAATTCAAACGGGATCGAAAGATAATCTTTCTCTCTCCATTGACTTCAATACATATTTTTTCCGAAATAAGGTCCCATGGAGGTCCACCGGAAGGGGAGGGACTTCGCCACTCTATTCAGGTGATAAGGTGGGCGGGGGTTACCTTGGTTGGTTTGTGGCTAATCGTTGCCCAACCAAGAAAAACAGTTGTGACATCGCAAAGTGGCCAAATCTGATTAGCTAATTTCCAGACAGGTTTTTGAATAGGTGGATCAGAAGAAAAAGGGACAGTATCCTTTTCCCTGAAAGTTTCCGAATGTCTTCACACAGGTGGCACATATTTATGTATACAACACGTGAAAAAATGCATTTATGCATAATAGGGGACCTTTAAGCCTTCGAGACCATTAGGCGCTTTCACACCAAGTACTTTTCCCAGGAATAGTTCCGATAGTTCCTGGGATTTTGCGTTCACACCAAAAAGATCTGGAACTAGAACTTTTTTTTGCGAACCTTTTCACCCCTTTTTAGTTTAGCTAAAGAGCAGGGACTCTCCTGGGGAGAAAAAGGTTCCAATTTCTGATTGGCTGGGCGAATTGCAAACCACGCCCCGTAAAACTCTGAAAGGCTTTGTGAAGCCGCCATTTTATTTGCTCGCATTAGCATTATTAGCATTAGCCCAACGCACCAACGGAGAGAGACTAACTTATGGCGACACAAAAGAAAACATGGGAGCGGTGGAGTGATGAGGAGGTGTCGGCGCTTCTGGCGATTTACTCGGAAGCTGCTGGGAAGACTCCCAGCAGCTTCTACTGAAGCCAGTCCCCAACTCCGGGGATTTCCGGCCGGGGACTTCGGGTGGCAGTATACGCTGTGAAGTTGTTTGCGGCCTGCCAGTAAACTTAAAGCAGAAGAAGAAGTGACGTCAGCGGCTCCCTCACGGACTTATTCCGGTGTGAATTGCAATCTACTAGATACTTCCGGAACTAAAGATTTCCGGGGAACTAAGTTCCGAGAACTATTCCTGGGAAAGGTACTTGGTGTGAAAGCGCCTAAACCTAAACAAGCCTAATAGGGTCAAAAGGGGCCCCTCCCCCAGTCAAATGAATCAAAAACAATTCTGTTTTTTTATTCTGTTGTTTTGTGCAGTGTGAAAGCAATATAAACAAAGTTTACAGACGATCATTTTGGTGGTGAAGTTTTCCTTTAAGAAGCAGAGCTAGTGGTTTCATTTCCTCCTGCACTCCACCCTTGACTGTCAGAGAACATGCTGTACTTTTAGGGCAGAGATGCCTCTACAGGCAGAATGTGTAGAAAACTGGTCTGGTGAAGACAAATTGCATAACATCTACAAAACCTTTTCTCTGGAATCTATGCAGTGTGCATACCAGACCATTCACCATACAGTATTGTGAGTGTAAGCTTAGAAACCAGGTGAATAACTAGTAACCAGTTCAGCAGACCTGGATGTGACAAAGAAGGGATGCTCTCCTGTGGTGCATTGTTACACTAGTTGTCTCTTTAGTTTTGGTGATGGTGAAGCCATATGTTAAACGAGTGAAAGTTTCCTCTGTATGAAGTCTGCAATGTCGATTGTATTGTATCATGTATTGATTTCCTCTCAATGTGTGCGCAGTGACTTCTGCAACTGAAGCCTCTCAGGATATAGAGAGCGTGAAAGCCAAAAAGGAGGATTGAGTTGGTAAGAGCACAACCACAAACCAAACTCAATACAAGCTAATGCTAATGCATTATCCATATATACTCAGTATAATGGATACTATAATGTATCCATTATACTGAGTATAATTTTATATATGTTCAGTGAAGGGTGCACATAAACAACCTTTAAACCGGGTGAACACGGGATAAATGTAGTAGAGAAGGGGTTTTTGATATTGATAGTTAAATATTGGTGATGTGATGTTTGCTTTCTCTCACAAAGGTAACGTAATTAAAACACTGAATAGTGGAAGTGTACATCACTTGTATAAGGAATGTCTCATTATTTTCTTTATCTTTTGTTTTTAGAGATAAGAGATGCACCAAAAAACATAAACCCAAAGCAACATTGGAAGAAAACTGGAAGGAGAACAAGACAAAGCAGTAAATGATACATTTTCAGTATTGTCATCAGCCAAACTGTACATCAGATGCTATGGTGTATGGTGCCCTAATAACATGTCATTAGGAAATATCAGGATATTTCCTTAATGTGTATATATAAACTTTTTGAAAGGTATTTTACTGACACCTTATGTGCCCTTAAGCCACATACTTAATATGCAGGTCAAACAAGCCATTACAGGACAGGCGAGATGAGACTAGAGGGTGCAATATTCTGTGAAATCTGTGAACTCTTGTGTGATGAATTTGGGAAGGAATCTTTCTATGTAAATCCTTGACTATTTAAAATAGCTGCTTCTGAGGAATACAAGCCAAACACAACTGTAAATTAGATTATGCAAAGAGTTTGAAGTGACAGAAACACCAAACAAAAGCTTAATTGTCGCACCAAAATAAAACTGATTTTCATAGATTTTATTATTAATCGAGATTTTTACATTACTGTAAACCTATCATTTTTTCCTTAAACTTCCTTTCTAACATCCCCTTAAAGAAAACATTTATCGTGTTTTTCTTGGAAAAGAAAGTGCACATTATTAGATGCACAAAATATTAGTAAGGATATAATGAATCACTGCCAGGTTGAGGATGCGGAGGGCCTCAGTGCTGAGATATCACCTTGCTGTTCCATGAAGCCATTTAGTGCAGCTGCACCCCCCTAAAAATAAAGGCATTTCAAACTATAAATTCAAAGGCCTCATAAGGCCCGTCACGATGATGTCAAATGCGCATTGCGCATTAATTACATATTTGGCAAAGTAAGAGTTCTTTCGAAGCTGCTTGCAATACTTATGTAAATGCCATATTGAGATAACAAGTTAATTATTGACGTTTTAAGAAAACAAAGCTTGTTTTATTGATATAACACCTGAAAACAAAAGACGATCTGCCTATGTTAGACCTTGATGTAAACATAATGTACTATTCTCCTTGACTGGACATGTTCAGTTAAATCAGTTGCTATGGTTGTCAAGACGCCATCTATGGCCCTCCTGATCTTGATTATCTCAAGTTCTTACACGGCTTAGTTGAATACTCGATTCTGATCAGTTAAGAAATTCCAGAGGTTATTAATACTCATTAACCCGTTGCTAAGCATAACATCACTGTTGCTAAGGAGGATCAAGGGAAAGAAGCAAAGAGGTTAAGGCCCAATCCCAAACCGCCCCCTACACCCTACCCCTACACACTACCCCTCCGTTTGCGCGTTCGCGCGGAGGGTCCGCCACATTAAGTGCTGTTCCAAACCAACGAGTGTGGAGCGGTGTGGAGGGGGAGTGGGCTATCAAGCCCTCAAACAGCGAGTCTGCAGCGGTGCTGACTTGAGACCGGTCTCTACCTGACCGGAGTCACGCTGTGTGTGTCCGTCAGGAAACACGCTGTTAAAAAGTAGTTCCAGCAAACATCCACTGATAAACTGCGATGTTAACAACCTCATGATAACCTCATATGTTTTTAACTTAGGATCATACCTGTGTTTAGTCTAGAAAAAGGTAAATGTGTGCATTTTATTATAAAGTTGTGTATATTTACAGACTGTTGCAAAAACTAAGAAGCTTATAAACATCAGGTTTAAAACTAAAAGAGCTTTACAGAAAAAGTAACACAATGAAAGATGTTTGGAGTTTTATTTGAGTTATTAATTTACATTTTTTGTCTAAGAGATGCTGATTTCAAACCGTTGTTACATACAGTTACGGCATTTCCTGTTTCTGCTGGAGAGGGGAGTTTGTTCCAAAGCTTGCCGCTGCATTTACTCCCTCCATCTGACAGGAGGGAGCCTCGTACAGACGGAGGGTAGGGTCGAGGGAGTGGTTTGGGATTGGGCCTAAAAGACAGCGTTGGAAGTCAGATAAATCAACAGAAGAAGACAAACAGGAAGTCAATACTAGCAGGGACACGCTATGGGGTCTGCAGTGTTTAAGGACTTAATTATCGGATCAGAAACTGTGAACAGACTTTAACAGTTACAGTGAACCTCGATCAGTTCTGCCGTTAATTTTAAGCCACATTGTTGTTGTCACAGTTCAGCCATTGGTCCGCTGTGTAACGGAGATTTGCTCTCTTGGCGGCAGCAATACGATTATTTTTCGTATTATAAGTCAATAAAATAATTTCAATTAATGTCAAGGTGTTAGTTTATTGAGTATGTGGCCATGTAAAAAGCGGTATATGTCCAGCGAGGTGGATATTATTGAAAAAAAGAACACCCCTTACATATCAAAGCCTGTTTTCTGGACGATATGAAATAATTACCTTGTGATCTTAAGAATAACAAATATTAAAAACTAGCAGTTTTTGGCTTCCGTAGAGATCGACTAGTGGATATGATTTTTATATCATTAGTTATACATGCTGTTTTATACAAAAGTGTAAAGTTTCAAGAAAATGATTTCAGTTGTGAAAGATGTGATGGGTGTATTGGGAACAAAATGTGTTTCTGTGTCTGATGACCTTTTTAATCAGTTTTTTCCTCTGTAATATATTATTTTTTCTGAGCTTTGTCTATGATTCTGCTAACCTATTGTACAGAATAAAGTTTTACTCACTAAAACATGTGCAATGAAATGGGACTATTTTTGTGTATAGCAACCACCATGTTTTTCATACAATACATGTTTTAAAAAATAATAATAAATACAGTAGAGTGCTAAGTGACAGAAGGCAATGTTATTCATAGGTATAGGACTGACCTATTTATAAGAGTTTCTTTTCTTTTTTTCGTATTTTTTTTTGTATCATACATTTTTTATTGCAACATCTAATGTACAACACAGTACAGAAGACAATCCAGGTTGCACAACATTTTGGATTAATTCAATCCCTCTAACACCCAACCCCCACTATATAATATGTCACCCACAATGCTGAGTGCTTTGCGGGTGAGGTGGGTGTTGTAGAGGTCCAGGAGTGATGGGAGTGAGGCACCGCTTCAGTTTTCGGACGAAGTAGAGGCGCTGCTGGGCTTTCTTGGTGATTGACGTGGTGTTGTTGCTCCAGGAGAGGTCCTCGGTGATGTTCACCCCCAGGAATTTGGTGTTGCTCACCTGCTCCACAGCAGCACCACCGATGGTCAGTGGGTGGGGGTGTTGGTCTATGCAACATGTGGCCAGCTGGTTCACCTCCCTCCTGTAGTGGGTCTCGTCGTTGTTGCTGATGAGACCCACCACGGTTGTGTCCGGCAGTGTCTCAGTCAGTAGGGGCTTGGACTTTCCCCGAACAGACCTAAATATGGAGTGTAGACTGCTACTTTGAGAGGTCCCAGTTCACTTCCTGGCCCCTGCAAGGCACCGTCGTCCTCGCAAAGGATCATCTCTCTCTTCCCCGGCAGAGCCTGAAGGCAGACCCACTCCGGGACCGCCGGTGTCTTCCCCAGGTCCCGAGGGGACGTACAGTATACCGGTATGTATACAGGGTGGTACCAGAGGTCGCGTTAACCGAATATTTTCCGTGGACACAGGCTGTAATCAGATGATTATCCATCAGCGCTTGGTTCAGCCGGGGGCATTGGTAGAAGCATCGTGGGTGAAGGTGAGGTGTGTGCATTCACCAGTACCCAGAGGTGACTCTGGAAATGTCTTTTAGGGGAAAAAAGCATATAGAGTCTGGGCTGGAGTTAGTACTCGCCTTACGAACCCCCTGATCTTGGGAACGAACTGGCCGGGGTTTGCTAAGCTAGCGGGGTCTATGGGGGTGCATTCAAGTGCGTCAGGGAAATGTGAGCTTTGTGCTGTGTTTAGTGGAAGTCGGAGGCGGCTGACGACATTGAGGGGGAAACAGCCACGGAGGGGGCCGCGGAGGTCCCTCCGCCCCCGCCAGTGGTTCCAGTGGGGGATTTCCCTCTTGAGCCTTCAGCACGGCTTCGACCAGGTGGTGAGTATTGATGGCTCCCAGCTACACCCAAACGCAGCACTCACTTACCCACACTTTACTGTGATTTGAACAGGCTGTATCGTGTGAGCCGTGACACACAAACAGGAGAACTAAATACCCAGTTGTTGGTGCCAAAAAGCCGTCGGGAAACGATTTTTCAGGCGGCTCATCATAACCCCATGTCAGGTCATCTAGGGTATGATAAAACACTACACTGGATCATTGGCCAGGCATTCGCGCAGATGTGAAGTGGTGGTGTGCATCTTGCCGTGAATGTCAGCTGGTTGACCTGCTGGCCACCCCAAAAGCGCTGTTGCGCCCCCTACCATTGATTGAGGTGCCTTTTGAGAGAGTGGGTAAGGACCTCATCTGAATATTAGACCGGAGTGCACGGGGATATCGCTTTGTCCCAGTAGACAGTGGCGGCGCCAGGGTATTTTTGTTGGGTAATCTATGGTAGGGCTAACCCATACAGTGGTGGTGCTCAAGTCAGTATTTGCAATTTAATTACATACACGCTATATCGCACCCCGTGAAACAGTGAAATGCCACACGTGAGGTTTAGATTATTTCCCTTTCTCAATCAAAATGGAACTGTATGAAATAAAACGGCACATTTGTCTTATAGTAAATAAAAAGGGATCACTGTGAACGGACGTATGATAGTACACGTTGAAGATCCAATAGGGATACTGAATGGCGGTTCCGATTGATCTCAATCAGTAAGGCATGACGCAGACCCAACGTTTCGTTGCTCTGATTGGCTGTAGGTCTATTCAAATTGCATTCGGAGGCATTTTGATCTGACCGCGGCCGCGCTGATATTATAACGCCAGAGGATTGCCACACCTTTAGTGTATAAAACTCCCCCACTACTTAGACCAGTGGTTCTCAACTGGTGGGTCGCGGACCCGTTTCAAGTGGGTCGCGGATGTGTGAGTGAAGAAAAAAAAGTTGAAAAAATGCAAACTTTTATTTTGAAGGCCCGATTTTCTAACGCTGTGCATGCAGTAGGCGTTGGACTGGAAGTACCGGAGACCATAAATGGTTTTGAAAACTTCTGTCACGTAGTGATCATCTTCTCAATAAAACATCTCTGCTGATGTTTTTTCGAGTCTTCTGGCCAATCAGAATCAAGATAGTTGCCGGAAGTCCCCACGGAGAATAACTGCGGTAGAACTATTCTTTATACATCCATGGGTACAACTTCAGATAAAAATGAACACATAATGAAATATGACCCCCGGTTTGATGATTGACAGGTCACAGAACAATGGGAGCTATCTACCCTTACCCACAATTTAAAGTAAATCACACAGACTATCTCCTCTTCTCGCAGCAAGATGTCAGAACTAAGTGAAAAACAAACAATGGCATAAAATATTATTAATATGTCGGGTAGTAATAGATTTATTTATTTTCTTCTCAGAGTGTACCAGAATGCGTAGTTTATGTTAGTATTTCTAAAAATCTCCTGGGGGAGAATCCCCCCAGACCCCCCTGCTGGGGTTGGGTTTTCAGCATGTGTCCCTTTTTATATAGTTCAGCTTTGATTCCATCATCTCATTAAACCTTGTTTAAAAGCATACTTTAGTTCTGTGAAGGGATATATGCACTGTACTTCCCTTTTATTAATATTGTATTCTGAAAGCGTATATATTACAGCACGATTTTTTGTTGAATAGATTTGAGTGCTTCAAAATGTTGGGTCGCGATGTATTGACCAAGTAAAAAGTGGGTCCCGAGGCCTGACCAGTTGAGAACCACTGACTATTCCTTGCACCCCTCTTCTATAAGCCCGAATGGTCTCAACCATATTGCATCAGTAAGGTGCACTTGTTGTTACAGCAGGATCAGTTTGTGTGTTGTGGACACGACCCGTATATTTTCGCAATCCGTGTTCTCAACATTTTGCATTTAGCTTATTATTTAATTGAATTTGCTTACTTTAACATCACTTTTCATGGTGGGGCTAAGGTGGGGCTAAGCCATTTCTTGGTATGGCTGTAGCCTACCCCAGCCATACCCTGGCGCCGCCACTGCCAGTAGATAATGCATCACGATATCCCGAGGCAGTGCCGCTGTGTAATATCTCTGCTAAGAGCGTTGCGCAGGCATTGTTTCATATAATCTCCCAAGTCGGGATCCCGAAAGAGATCCTGACTGAGCAGGGCACTTCATTTATGTCACGCACACTACGCGAGCTGTATGAACTGTTGGGCGTCCACTCAATCCGGACTAGTGTTTACCATCCCCAGACTGACGGCCTGGTGGAGCGGTTTAACAAAACACTAAAGAACATGGTTCG